CTTGGAATCTTGGAATGTGCGGATTATGGCTAGAGAAGTGGCACAAGCGGCTGGCATACACACGAGATAGGTGACTGGCACACACATGGTAGAAGTGCTGGCATGATCCCGAACTGGTTAACCATCCAAGAAAAGTGCGGGAACGATGATTTTCTAATTAAACGTCATCCCAAAATAAAGGAGTGATTTAGTTTATAGCCAAACACGTTGCAAAAGCCAATTGGCATACACGAAGAGGCGGATGGCATGATGCCGAAAGCTGATACTGGCCCTTGTGGGGCTCATGCCAAAATTGTGTGGAACACATCCAAAACTTGGGGAACACGTTTAGAAATCAGGGAACAAGTCCTCGAACATGGAAGTGAGATTCTAGAGTCTCGTGACTATAAAGAGGATATCTGAGGAGGAAAAACACACACCATCAATCAAATTGCATATTTCGCTTATTTCCTTATCTCTTTCTTTTTTTTATACCAAATTCTTGTTCATGTGAGTTTGTTTTGAGCTTGTTCTGTCGACTTTAAGCTCTGAGTTATTCTTAAGCCTAGTTCATGTTCCATTCATGGCTGTAACTGTCTGATCAGTCATACAAGGACTACCTGCTTTTTCATATGCCAATTTTGCGCTGGGTCTTTATAGGGGAGTCTTCCTTGAGGGGGCTGGGATCCATTTGGCAAATTTTGGTGAAGATAAATTCATTATTGTCATAACTCCTAAAGGATTGGCTGAACAACAGCATGCTTAAGTTGGACGATTGAGATATCTACCGTTTGAATCACACGTGACACCGCGTCCATTCAGAGTAAATTTGGGGGCATACCCATCATTCAGTGATAGAGTCTTATCTAATGTACGTGGACGAGATTGGGCAAGATACATCAAAGGAAAATAAAATTTCACAGGTATTAGTCCAGCAGAAAAAACCAAAATACTTATACCTCAGGTAATTGAACAAGTAAAATGAAAGCTCATTATTTACATACTTCCCTCTCTCGTTATCGTTATCAGAAAGCTCCTAATTATGTCTACTTTCATTGTTTGAAGTTAATATACGGATGAATGTGATTGTATGAGGAGTATCTCTAATTGCACTGGTTCATCTAACGGTGTATGCGTAAAAAGTTCTTCATCCCAAGAGTGGACCTGATAGTACTCTTTTTTTGGAAACGTCGTGCAATATCTACTAAGTGTTTCAGATGACGTTGTGTTCCTGCTAGAAGTATGTTAAAATGAGATTTAGAACTAACTATGCCTGTACAAGCTGGACTAACCTTTTCACTCTCGAAGCTGTGTTGCCGTATAAATCACTTACGACAAACATCAGAACTGACTATACATCTTGGTGATACAATAAAACTGTCTGAGCTCATGCCAACGTGATGTTGGCGCAACCTGCACATAACATGACCACCAACCTTTTTTTTTTTTTGGTCGAAACATCATACCACCAACTTTAAGAGTGCAAAAATAGTCATTTTACCATCTATTGGTTAGAAAAGGGGATCAATTGCAGCAACCAAAAAAATTGGCCGTCTCGCCTAAGAGAATGTCTTGGCTCGACCCGGATCCATGGAATCCAAAATATCACATCCGTTGATCATATGAGCCCCGCACAATCAATAAGTATGATGGATTTGATTCATGTGAATACAGGTCCGGATAAGTATTTGCCCTCGCCTACAGAGGAGGATGAGACATGACAACCCACTCTCCGTAAAGAGGTTAGACATTCAAATCAAAGTCCTCAGAACTTGACTATGTCAAGTAAGATGAATTGAAATCGCAACTCCCCTCATCCGAATTCTGACATGTCTTTCAATTCAAATTTAGAACTATATTTGGAGCTATCGTGAAACCTAAATCTTATCGGTTTCCCAGTTTTAGCTCTCATTTCTTTATTAGGGTGAAAAGCATTCATGCACTATTTCAGTTAATTAATAACATATCTGTAATACCTTCTATATATTTAGATCAAAACCATCAGTTGTCTCACTTCTGACTTTCCAAGGCTACCCTTACTATTTATAACACCATCTACTTGAGCAGCCAACTACTTTCTTTCTATACATACATATAACTACATTTTCATCTCATTTTTCACAAGTGTTATTATGATTTAAGGACATTATCATCTTTATATTAGTTTTTAACCTATAACTTGACGGTTTTCATCTTATCTTGAGAATGATATGACTAAATACACTTAGCAAATAAGATTCATAATTTCATCTCAAAAGTAGCCTCGTGCATGTGGTGCGTATGTGAAAACTAGTGTGGACATACCTAAGGTTTGACCAAAATTGATCAAAGACATTACTTGGATGCGAAGTCCGATCGAAGGGTACGATTAGGCCATGCTCATCAAGAGCTTTCTAGGGATAACCAATTTACCCAAATAGGACGACTGTATTTTATGATATCATATTTTTTAATTACGATCATTTGATTGTCAGGTGTCGGAATTTATGATGTGAACCGATCGTTTAATTCCATCTTAAAGATCAAGCCATAAGCTTTCTGACGTTGCAAGAATCACGATGATCAGATTTTTGATGAAATTCTTTTTAGAAGGTTCATCCGGGTCATCCCTTCAGCTCAATGCCCAAAAGTCGATGATCACGAGAATTTTATTGAAAGTTAAATCGTATTTCCAAAAAAAATTCAGGTCACGTACATCTAGTGGCCGCATTGAATAATACTATCGTTATTCTGTCCGATAAAATATAGCTTTTCATAAACAAATAGGACGTCGTAATGCCAAAAGTAGTCTTCAAAAAATTCAAGAAAAATATATGCTCTTATGATTATTACTTTATTGAAATAAAACTTGGAAATTGCAAATTTCTCTTTAGGACGCTATTATGCATGTCATGAATTTCGGAGTGTCTTAAAACAATATAGTTATTATCATTAAAAAATTATATTCATTTTTCGAACCTTATATTATATGGTCGAAAGGATGATAATATCCCTGTCAAAGCATGCCGTATAATAACATGACTTCGTCAATTTCAAACTAATCATGCATCACTAAATCAAACGTCACATAAACAATTACACATGCATACACTTCACTAAATAAAACTTCGATTAGGGAAGGGATAATAACATAAATAGTCTATAAACTTTGACCCAATGTGTGATGTAGTTCATGAACTTTTAATTTGTTCAATAGGTCCCTGGACTTTTGGTAGATATTCAACTTAATCCACGAACTAGATAAAAATTTTCAATTTGTCCTTCCATTAATTTAAGTTTAGGGACAATATTGAATATTTTCACATAGTAGGGACTAAACTGAACAAATACCAAAAGTTCAAATACCACATTGAACAAACTGAAAGTTTAGGAACTATATTACACATTGGTATACAGTTCGGGGATCATATTTGACAAATTACAAATTCATGAACCACATTACACATTGGGCCAAAGTTCAAGGCCCATTTGTGTCATTTTCCCATTAGGGAATAACGATCCCTAAAAATCACTAAGGGAATTCTGGTCCCTAAATTTCAAAGGGAATCTCTAATCCAAGATTTTCTAAGGGAGTTCTGATCCCTAAACTCATGGAAAGAATGCTGATTCCTAAATTTGTTTAAGGGAATACCTATCCCCCTAAACTAGCCAAGAAAATCCAACTTCTCCAGGCGACTGTTGATCCTCAAGTTCTCTAAGCTGGTTACCATCCCTAAAACTCACTCAAGGAATAACAATCCCTAAAAATTCTCTGGGGAAAACTTCCGATCTCTCAATTCTCTTAAGACATTACTTATTCCCAAAACTAATTAAGGGAATAACGATCCCTAAAACTCACTAAGGGGATAACAATTCCTTGCTTAGACTAAGGGAATACCGTTCCCTAGAGCTCACTAGGGGAATTTCGATCCCTAAAACTCACCGAACCCCTAACGTAAGGCGGCGGCTTATACTGCTGCCGCCTTCGCACACACGTCACGTGGTCATAATCTGTCAAGCAATCATAAAGATGAGAGAAAACTTGTGAATGCTGAAGGAATTGCTTATTACATGCAGTAGTCGAGGCGGATTCCCACGTTTGTTTTGCAAGAAGGCGTTAGCGAGATCCCCCGACAAATTTATTGCAATGACTATCTTATCAAGCTTCGAAGATAAGGTTACTTGATTAAACGAGGGAAGAGATTGACAACCCTATGCCTCGATTGATTCCTAACGAAGATAAGGTTAACGACTCTTGTTTTTCTTAAACACATATGGGGATTGACGAATCTTATGCCCTAGATGATCTTTGATGAAGGAAAGCGACATGATGGATTGACAAATCCTATCATCTCTAAACACAAATAGGAATTGACAAATTCTGTGCCGAAATAACCCTTTCCGAAGAAACTTTACATGCCAGATTGACGAATCCTATCATTTCCAACACAAGTAGGGATCAACAAATCATATAGTTAGACAATTCTTAACGAAGGAACATCATGCGACAGATGGAGTAAATCTATACTTTTTAGATGCAGTCACAGATTAACGAGGATTGGCAAATCCCACGCTTTAGGGTCCTTAAAGAAAGCAGACAGTATAACGGATTTCACTAATCTTATCAAACGTAAACGAGGCAAGATACAATCCTAACAAAGACTTGGATGTCCAAGCCAAGGTAACCCTGACTTCTATGCTCGGGTTGCCGACCCTCGTGCTTGAGGCCCTTGAGGCTAGACCTAGGTCCCCAACGCCAAGGATCTCACCAGGCAAGTCTGAGTCCTAGGTGGTCAGGCACGAGACCCTGGATCTCACGTCCAAAACCCCTACAGCCAAGTCCAAGTCAATTGAGGTTATTCCTGCTCCCTCAAGATCGGACACAAGACGCACGATCGAGCATGCGCCTAGGACCTCGGCCCTCAGGCCTTGGTCCCTAACAATCGAATTCGAAACAAAGCTAGATACATTTTCTCATGGGTGTTTCGTATTTTGGTATATTTACCCGGCACAACCTATTATTGCGCAAACGAACCCAAGACTATCGAAATCTTTCCCGCCTTAATTATGCAACAAGCAATATGTATTTGCTCATGGTCATCCACATGATAATCTCCCCCACGCGTTTTGTATTTACAAATAAACAGAAGATTTACACGATAATCTCTACCTAAATCTGTCTAATTGTATGTATGAGTATAAAGAACACAAAATTCGCAAAGTGAGGAGCGCACATGATCTTCAGGGATTTATCACCTCATCCATTCACTCAATGTAAATGCTCTCCGTCTCGCGACGTCGTTTCGGGTGCTCCCAAACCATTTAGCCCCGATCATCAGGAACGCAGAGACCAACCTCGCTGTCTTCGTCGACGTTGATCCCAAGCGAGTCCGCCACGTCGTCCCTGCTCCATCCCGCACGCAATAGCTGCAGAGACCACGCTCGCACGTGCCGTGCAACGCCTCCCTGGGATCCCGCCACGTCACCCCGCACCTTGGCCCTCCCATCGCAGCCGTCCATCCACATCATCTCCCTCACTTCCTCCTCCGTCCACCCACCGTCCCTCAGCCTCCAGAACATCTCCTCCATGCATGCCCCGAGCTTGCCTCCACCTCCTCCGCCGCCGCCGCCGCCGCCGCCGCACCACCACCCGCCCGCGCTCCCTCGCGCCGCCGCCGGCGGCGGCCCCCTCCTCCCGCCTCTCTCCGCCACGTCGCTCCAGAACTCGATCCTCCGTGGCGCCGTCGCGGCCCACGCCGGCGTGCCGACCCTCGGCGGCACCGTCCGGGCCGGCCGGAAGACGCCGATTCGCAGCCACTCGAACTCCTGGAAGAATCCGGCGAGGTCGAAGCTCAGCACGCGGACGTCCCCGCCGTCAATGTAGAACACCGGATTGCCGGCGGCGTTCGGCGACGCCGGGATGTAGCAGCACCGGTAAATCGGCACCAGAACCGGCGCTTCCTCCAGCAACCTCTTAGCCAACTCGACCGGTCCGTCGCGATCGCTCGGCCTCTCGCCCCACGCGTCGCACCAGAAGCCGCCGCCCTGCGACACCTCCTTGATCAGGCTCCGGCCCGGGAGGCTCGCCAGAATCTGGAGCTGCTGCGGGGAGGACGACCGCCAGTTGACGAACCCGGGGCCGACGGGGAGGCCCTCCCGGAGGATCGACCGGAGGTCGGGCGGGAAAGCGAAGGAGAAGGCGGACTCCAGGGAGGCGAATTCCGCCTCCGTGAGCCCTTCCAGGACGGGGATGTTGCGCGACACGAGGTGGTCGATGAGGCTCTTCGCGTAGGCCGCGAAGGAGAAGCAGACCCTTTTGGGCACGAAGTGGTAGCTCAGCGCCCTCCTCGCCGCCGCCCCCGGCGCCGCAGCCGTCGTCGTCGTCGCCGTCGCGACCGCCATTACAGACCAACGCTCAGCTTAAAGTATCGATTTTTCCAGCTCTTTCCGGTGATGGGTCGAAGCGAAATGCGATAAGAGATAGAGAGAAAGGAGCCAAGGAGTGAAATCTGGGAAGAAGATCGATTTGGGTCTGATAAGTGTTCGTTGGCGAAGCGTGTGCTGGGGCCGAACGCGACGGCGAGGCAAGTGAGGAGAAGAAGAAGAAGAAGATGCGTGTTGAATTCTCAGAGAGAGAGAGAGAGAGAGAGAGAGAGGAGGGAAAGAGGAAGAGTCGGTCTCCGGCTTGGACTCATTCGGAATTTGAGGGGACCATCGAACACTCGGGAAATTAATGAAGGGAGGTTTAACCCCCTTAATTAATTATTTAATTTCATGCCAACGATTGCATAACCCCTTTAGTTAATTTTTACTTTTTTTTTTTGGTCGAAATTTAATTTTTACTTGAGTTGTGTCCCTTTTTAATGCGTAAGGAGATGGTGCTCTGACGAAGTCTTAAATCTCTTTCTTTTCTTGGGCGCGAATACGTCTTAATCTCTCTTAATTAGTGCTTCTTTCCCCTTTTTCCAACCTATGTGTTTGGATACGGCTTGCTTGATTTAGAGCATTTCACTAGCCAAATGCCGACATCCCCTTTGCTAGAATATTTAAATGTTAAATTACGTATTCATCTGGCTGTTTTAATTTTTAGAACAGTCGGCATCAAACTTGTAATTTATTCGATCGAGTCCTTCGACTTAATATACCCTCGGCGCCTTCCAACGCCTATTTCGGCGAACCGGAGTGGAAGTATCCATCAGTGCTGGCCAAAAGCCTGATGTTGAGACGATTGATGAGATCACGAGAATGAAAAGCTATTGCGATTTCCTTAATTGCATAGGAGTCATTGTTCTTAGAGTTTGGTCGGTGCAAATGAAATTTCCTATACGGCATTAAGTCTTTCCTCATCACACTTTTGATCGGAATTGACTGGACGTGTCAGGTTCAATTTCTTGGAATTGGGAATCAAGAGACTCGATTGAAAAGAAATTTTATAAGTTGAAAGAGTCAATTGCACAAACAACAAATTCGAGGACCACATTAAAGTACGTACAAATTTAGAGACTAAGGCTCAGTTTGTTTCGCAGAAAATGCGACCTTTTTAAAAATATTTTTCAGTAAGTCATTTTTCAGGAAAATGATAATATTTTTTAGTATTTGGCCGAAACTTGAAAATGAACTAGAAAATATTTTTCGCCGATTGACAGGGAAAACTAAAAGTTACAAAAAAAAATTCTCATTTTTATTTTATTTTCTTTTCTTTTTTCTTTTTTTCATTCTCCTTCTTTCTTATCCAATGGCCGGCCACAACGGCGATCAGCCACAAGTGAGGCCGAGGCCTCACTGGCCTTTGGCCTTTGGCCTCGACCTCGCTAGATCAGCGAGCTCGTCCCAGCCAAGAAAGAAGGAAAAAGAAAACGAAAGAAAAGAAAAAAATAATTAAAAATACGAATTTCTTTTTAAAAAGAAACATCAAGGGACTGTGCATGGCCTTTATGGACGAGAGCTCGAGCATCAAGGGACTTGAGCAGGGCCTTCATGGGCTCGGGCCTGGGTGCTGGGAATCGGGCACTAGCACCAGGGTTCAGGCCAGTTTGATGGACTCGAGCGTGGGTGCGACTTGGGCTCGGCCTCAATGGACCCGGGCTCGGCCGCCAGAGACTTGGTCCTGAACGTCAAGACTCATGAACCAACGCTAGGATTTTTGTGCCTAAGCGTAAAGTTTTGAGTTCAAGCGTCGATACTTAGTCATATTTTGAAAAATGTTTTCCGACTTTTCAAAAGAGGAAATCATTTTCCTGAATTTAAGCATAGGTTTTCCGTTGACTCATTTTCATAAGTGAACCAAATACCAAAAAATGAGGAAAATGATTTCCGTGAAACAAACGAAGCGCAAATATGTGCTTTTTTTTTGCCTTTTTTCTTTAACAAAAACCAAGTATTTTTAAGGGCACATTGTGATGTAACGATTATAGTAGAACTATATGCAGCAATAGAGCCGAATTAATGCACTTCAATAATAACTGATTTGGAAAATATTTTCCTAAAAATGATCGTTTGTATCCCTTACAAAAATAAACAAATGAGAAATATTTTCATCGTCCACGAAAATATTAAGTTATAAATTGTTGTTGATAATGAAAAGAATTCATTGAATAATTATTTCAAACGATACAAACGATCATTTTTTGGAAAATATTTCCCAAATCATTCGTGTTCGGCGAAACAAACGGAGCACTAGTAAATTAAAAAATTAATATGAATCACTAATAAGACTAAATTCACACAGTACACATATATGCGCTTTAGAAAGGAATATTATTATTTGCACCACAAGACGTGTGATATATTTTTCTATGCCAATGTAACAGCTTTGTTTCCTTTTTTTTTAATGAATGTTGTATTTTTTTGGCCGAATTTAAAGTAGGGTTTGAAAAGAACAAGTCTTTCTCTCTTTAAAATAAAACTGCCACATGCCTGTATGACGATGAAGGATAAAACCAAGTCAAGCTAATCAAAAGTAACTTGGGGCCCCGCTCCATGACTACATGATCGCGACTGGGTACCGGTTCGAACTACTCAAGTATCTTACCAAGTCGAAATTCAAGTTTTTCATTATTTTTATTTTCAAAAAATTTAAATATTCATAAACATAGACACAATATACTTAAAACTACATAACATTTGAGATTATTCAATTCAAGCTCAAGCTTGAGATCGAGAGTTTTATATATACTAAGTTGATTATAATCGAGTGAAGAAAAATCAAGTTCGAGTAGGATAAAATTGATACTCAATCGAGCTCGAGTTGAGTTTCGTGCAATAAATTTGGGAGTCAAGGAAAGCTTGTGCTTGGTAGAGTATCAAGTCGATTGGCTCGACTACACTCCTAATTGGAACTTAACGTGTGGAAATTATGTTCCCACCGTAATGTGGATATAATAATCATTTAATAAGCTATGTTGGGTCAGGATCACCTACACAGCCGAAAGATCTGGACTTAACCAGTTCGTAAGACTTATAAAAATGTTCCAAGAACTCTCCATATAACGGGGTCTCTGCGTTTGTATCCTTAGATTATCAAAACAAAATCACCTAAAGAAAACTTTCTGATTTGAAAAATTATTGCTTTACTCATTCTTTTGAAAGTACATTACATCTATGGTAAATGGATTGAGGTAACCGGGCCTCTGCGTTTGTGTGCTTACAAAACTTTGTGATTTGAGAAATTATTGCTTTTACCCATTCTCTTGAAAGTACCTTAAATCTATGGCAAATGGTCTATATGAAAAATGTTCTAATACACTTGTTAAAAATGGTGCGTTTGTGTCGCGAAAAATGAGTGATTTGAGGAATATTTTCCAAAAAATGATTGCTCATATCATTTAGAAAAATTAGTCAACGGAAAATGTAATCATCATCGATAACAATTTATATCTAACTATTTTCGTGGGCGATGAAAAAAATTTCAAAATTTATTTTTGTAAGCGATACAAGCGATTATTTTTCGAAATTTTTTTTCCAAATCACTCATTTACCGCGAAACAGACAACCCTCTAATGTTTTTATCAACTAATCAAATAAGTGAGTTGAAAGATGTTCATTACCAAATTTTCTACAGGCATATTAGGAGACAATAATGAGAGATTTCACTAATAAAGTTCATCAACCAACTCCTAATCTACCATATGACAGAAGAGAAGTGCAAGTTTACCAACTCCGTGCACCCAAACGTTATCATGCCTGTCCACAATACGATGAATTAGTATATTGGGAAATGAAGTAATTTGCCAGCATAAGTTGTTCGCATATAGAAATTTTGAAGTTGCCTGTGTTTGACAACTAATGACTAATCATTGAGGGTGCATTTGTTTCGTGAAAAATGAATGATTTGAAATTTTTTTCCTAAAAATGATCGCTTGAAATAATTAATTAATAAGGAATATTTTGATTATCGACAACAATTTATGTCTAAATATTTTTGTGGATTATGAAAATATTTTTTATTCGTTCAATTTTGTAAGCGATATACTTATTGGCCTCGTGTTTAGTCATATAAAATGTTACAATCGCGATGGTCACGAGTTCGAGACATTGCCTGTTGAAGTAAGCGATACAAATGATCATTTTTAAGAAAATATTTTTCAAATAAACCTAAATTAAAGCACACCAAAACGAATGGAGGTGACAAGATGAGTTTGGGTTGTTCATCGCGCCGGAAAATTCAATACGTTCAGTGGAACACGAAACAGCTCGCGTGGCGGCAATGTTGCATGAATTCTGGTAAGCCAATGATGTCATTAAGAATAGCGAGACAAAAAGGGACATATTGGCACCAAGGCGTCCCGCCGCCGGCTAAATGCTTAGTTTAGCTTCAATAAATTCTTTATTTGAACGACGGTCTCCCATATTCAAATTAAACTTCGGGGACAACGGCGACACTATTCTGTCTGTGGAGTCCGCCTCGATGCACATGGATAGAACTGTTTAGATGCGTCCGTCACAATTAAAATGAGCATGACTTGCGGTGGATCCTTTAAATTACAACCAATTATGAAACTCGGCAGTCGCGTGATAGCTTTTCATAACGTCAATGACTAGGTGGAGTTGATCGAGATTCGATATTAAGTTGCATCTCAGAAGGCACAATCGTGAATGGAAGCCGTAACAAAGTTAGTTTTCTTGGCCACTCACGTGATAAAAGGCGCAATAAGCCTAATGCCGTGAGACGTCTCAAGATTAGTAATGTGTCCACAACATATCTCACCGTCTCAAGAAGTATAAATCCAAATTTGACTACACCCAATTACAACCCTTTTCATATCAGCCGCAAGGAAAGTAACTTTCTCCCTTCAATCCCCAATTCAATCCGAGCATAAAGAATTTACCCTTCATCTCAAACGAAGCAAGCGAACGATTTAGTTCAAATATTCATTCAAATACCATCAATTGCAATAGGGTTAATACCATGAAAAATCTCAAATCGGTACATTTATGATAAATTTACCAAAAATTAATTTTTTGGTCACAAAAAGCCTCAAGCTGGTACACCTGTGATAATTTTACCTCAAACTAATTTTTTGACCATAAAAAACTCCAAACCGGTACACTTGTAACAAATTTACCTTCCGTAAAATTAGATTAATACCACGAAAAATCACAAATTTGTGAACTTGTAACAAGAGAAGGGGTAAAATCCAAAACTGGTGCATCTGTCAAGTGATACGTGTCATCCAACTTAGTAATTAGACAGTAAAATTTAACGGAAACTAACGGAGAGTAAATTTATCACAGATGTACCGGTTCGAGATATTTGGTGGTCAAAACATTAATTTAAGATAAATTTATAATAGATGTATCAGTTTAGGGTTTTCCGTGATATTAACTCGTAATAATGAATGAACACACTACTATTTATCACATCAGAACTAATTGAGAGTGGAAACAACATTGGATCTTGTCGAAACACATTCAGACCAAGATGGACTTCACGATCGACCTTCATTCCTTTAATATATATACTTTGTAGTGGAGTGGAGAGGGGAGATCATCTTTGGATCGCACTACCACCGATCGGTTTCAATAATTAGCCCCATGATTGGAAGCGGTCTCCAAAGAACGCGACACGCTTTTTCGGTTTTCCTTCGTCCCCATTTCCCTGAAAATGACATCAAAACGCTCGTTACGATTTATTATTTTTATCGGACGTAAGTTGTCGTTACGATGATGCAAGGGCTCTTCAAATTTTCAGGTGTGACCTTGTTTCTCGAGCCGGACTTTATGGTACCGAGGGGACCCCGCCACGGTACTTCGGTCATCCCATTGAAGACAAAATTTAGCTCTCGCTTCTAGACTCTCGAGACAGCGATTTGAGGGCGAAATCTGTCGCCGTGTGCCGTATGGCGTGAAGCGTGGCTCGTTGGGCATCGCATGACACTTCGGTTTCGTGCAATTTGGTGGCATAGCTTGCTTCGCATATTTTTCCTTTCCATCCATCCACTCGGAGGTCCCTTGTAATCAAAACTATGACTAAGTGCACTGAAAGTACGAAAACCTATTGCAAAAGTGTAATTAAGTTGTCACAAAAATGTAATTGAGTCTAAATCAAATCATAAAACTTGATGTGAACAAGTCCTATAATTTGTTAATATTTTCCGTTTGTCAAGTTGGACGTAATTAAAACCACTGGGGTTTGCCATTTTTCCTACTTGGGAAAGGAGGGGTGGGGAGTTCGATTTCCCCACTTTCTTAGGGAGACTAGGGGTGGAGACGTTTAATTTCAGATGTGAGTTTCGACTTCCACGCTATTCAAAGAAGTATGGCAAAAGTTTGAAAGTAAGTTGTGAGTTAGAGTAAGACGACGAAACAAAAAAAGGTTGGACGTAGTTAATGAAAGGACTTGATTGCATTTCTTGAAATCTGATGACTAAATTGCACTTTCCAGTGCATTTATCCCTTGAAACTAAAAAGGGTGTGCACCCACAACTAAGTGGTTCTAAATTTAGATGAATTACACCATAGGTCTTAAACTTTATGTACCGAATGAAATTGAGTTCTAAACTGTTCGATTGGTTTGATCAAGTCATAAACTTTTACAAAAAAAGAAGTAGAATCGAGTTTTAAACCTTTCAGTTAATCTAACTAAATTTTAAAACTATGCTAAGAATGTGACTAAGGCCAAAAAGTTATCTTGAAAAGTGCAATTTAAGGATGTCAATTAGGCATTATTTTGTGTGACGGGTAGGCAATTTTTTTATCAAAACAACTTGATTGCATCGTATTAAAAGGTTTGCGATTTATTACTTTTAATTATATATTATAGTAACCATTTTTTTTTCTATGAACTCACTTACGGTTCATAACTTACTTCGGTTTCATTACAAGTATGTATAATACATTTCAGTTACGATTAATTTATTTTAATTATTTATATTAATTTTTGAAATAATGGAGTAATGTCATGAAGGTATGATTAATAAGAGTTACAGTAACCGTCAGTTATACAACATGATTATGAACTAATTACAATTATAGGATATTTAATATGTGATAATCAATCATTAGGAACTAAATAGAATAGGTCAAATCATAAAGCAAATAATCATAATTTATGTGAGATTTTGTAAAACTACTGACAACTGTTTTAAAAGCTTAAACTGTTAGATGAATGTGTGGTTTAATATTTAATTACTCCAACACTCCCCCTACACTTAGTCTGGCTTTTTTGCCTAACACTAGTCGTGAACATATTCAATTGGGGAGGTAATTGAGGCTTAAAAAGATTTGAACTCAGGATTTCAAGCTTTGATATTATGTGAGATCTTGTGGGATCACTATCAACTGTTTTAAAAACTTAAGCTGTTAGATGAATTCGTGGTTTAATAATGCATTACTCTAATAATCTTAGTGAATTGTAACTTCAAATAATAATTTAATAATATAAGTGTAGTTAGTTGATGGGAAAATACCACAAAAAATCTCAAACTATACCACTTGTGACAAATATATCCTAAACTTTTTTTTATGACACGAAAAACCCCAAACTATACCACTTGTGACAAATTTACCCTGAACTTTTTTTTTGTGACACGAAATACTCCAAACTATGCCACATGTGACACATTTACCTCACAAAACTTTAGCCCATGGGCATTTTTGTCTTTTTCCTTTTTATGTTTTTTTTTTCCTTTTTTTTTCTTCCCTCCGCCGTCCATGGTAAAGGGAAGCCGGCGAAGGCGACCCTCGCTCGACGCCGGCGAGGGTAGCCTTCGCCTGAGTCGGGCGAAGTCGCCCTCGCCAACGGCCCTCGCCGGATCTGGAGAGGGTCGCCTGACGCCGGCTAGGGCAGCCCTTGCTTGAGTCGACAAAGTCGCCCTCGCCGGCGTCGGGCGAGGCTGCTCTCGCCTGGGGCAGGGCTGCTCTCGCTTGGGGCGGCGAGGGCTGCTCTCGCCGGCTTCCCTCCGCCGGCCATGGCGGAGGGAAGAGAGAAAAAAAGAAAAAAAAAAGAAAAAGGAAAAAGACGAAAATGCCCATGGGCCAAAGTATTGTGGGGTAAATGTGTCACAGGTTGCATAGTTTGGGGTTTTTCGTGTCACAAAAAAAAAGGTCAGGGTAAATTTATCATAAGTGGCATAGTTTGGGGTTTTTCGTGTCACAAAAAAAAATTCAAGGTAAATTTATCACAAGTGGCATGGTTTGAGATTTTTGGTGGTATTTTCTCTTAGTTGATTTAGTGAATTGTAGCAATTATGTAAGTGCACTATGTAATAATTTAAACTTTCTCAGCTAAATCAGACTATAAATTATGATCAGCCACGATGGTTGTGGAAAAGTTTTTCTCTATTGTTTATTCAACCAAATAGTGAAAATAGATCACTGCTCCCACCAACCAAACCTCATGTAAGCATAGTAAAAGACAACAACACCTTTGATTAGCCTCTCTGTGGGAGAGTGATTAAAGATTAATTAACTCATCTGTGTATGGGAATAGCAAGACAATGCTTTGGGACTCTCAACACATCTCTATCTTATCTCCCTTGGAAACCCAAAACCGATAAATCACAACACAAAATCAGAGTTCATTAATCAGATTTGTAACCTGCTCCCACTCTCGTTAGCTAGCTTTGCCCATTGCCCACCACTTATCTCCATGTAATTAGAAACGTGTAAAATTATAATTTTGGCACCATTAGCATACCATCTGTTATTGTCTAGGCATGCTAGCCTTTTATTACTACAGCCATCAAAGGCCATGCATGTTAAAAAGCTCTTCTATGTAAAAAGTTTCGTGGGGATTCAAACAAACAGATGAAATTTCTGGTAAGGTGTACTGTCTTAAAGACGATGACTTTCCCGATAGGATTTGTGATTCGATATAATCGGTTCCGATGGTCAGGAAACAATGCTTAGACTCTAATCTTTCTTATCAGTGTGCGTAGTAAGCGAAGGAGGAACATGACTCAAGCTTTGAAATGATACTCAATATGGAGTAGGTACGAAAGAGACGAACAAGAAAGCAGGAGGACGATGAGTGTAGAATTGTATTGACATTATTTAAGAGGAAGAAATCGATTATTGGTTGCTGAAAATACACAACAAGAGGAGGCAGGTCTGATATGAACATATATAAATTGGCAATTTTTATGGCTATTACATTTTCTGCCTGAGTCAATTTATCAATTCAAGCACTATTTTTTCTAGGCCATCTTATTTCTAAAACTACATTAGAAAAAAAACAATAATCTACATAACTAGGGCAAGAAGCAATTGTTTGGTATGATCCTAGAGTTTGGCAGGGCTTCATTCTACCCTGCTTTCCCCTGCCTCTCGAGGGCTGTGAATCACCTTGGCATGTAAAATTGGACCGAAATCTTACTTAAGCTGACGCAGGAGCAAGTTTTCCAAAATTATGATATTATTTAGGAAACTCCTTTGAAGTCTTAGATGATTTTACTTATTCTTTTTTAATAGGTAGTTGATTAGTTTTAATATATACATGTGGAAGAATTTGATTAGTTTAATGTTATATTGTGTTTCCTAAGAACTTACCCACATATGTATATCTATTTTTTATTTTTGTCTCATAGTTGCATTTTTTTTAAAGAGAGGCTCGTGTTTACTTTCATTTGTAATTGGAGGAAACTTTTTCTAAGCATGCCTTATATTGAGATGGGTTATAATAATCGACATTACCCAAATCTATTTTTCCATTAAAATTGCATATGGGTGATATTCATAATTTGTACCTCACCAATCATATTACAATCCATTCAAGTTTCTCGATTTGTAGATGTCATACTTGAACAGGGGCCATGCTAATCTTCTTTATATCGGTTCAGTTGTATCAGGTGTCGGACAATGCACCCATTCGAATTTCGTTAGCTCATATTCATGTTATTTTGTTTCGTTTTACATGTTCAAGGGGATTTAAAATGATTTCGCATCACTAGCCCTATTTACAACTTCCACATAACAACTACAATTCTAGGATTAAAAAAAATAAAATTGGTCGAGTACTCAATTTGAACATGACATGCGAAGGCCAGGATGGGGAAGAACACTTTTAGGTGATATATCAAGAATTCTAATTCTCCTTACCTCTTATTGCTATTCTTCATGTTTTCCGGTTCCTATTTTGCTGTTTTATCTATCTGTTTGACATGGTTACGTCCACATTTTACATTCCAACGTAAAATGCTGGTTATCCTCAAGAGAGAATTTTTAAAGTAAGCCTGTTCTGGAAGCTTAAGCTCTTACAGAATGATGCAAATCACATTTTTCAATTTTAATGATACCAAAGAATTTAACATTTATTGTAAGAAATTCCTAGTGCCAGTCTTTTGTCCAATGTCTGATTGCCGACCCATGGGGGCAACCAAAGGTTCAGATAGTTCTCTTGTTTTTTTTTAGACCAGCAGCATTGTCCTAGGTTACTCTAGGAAAACTAATGTGATAAAATGTGACAACGACGTTGATAGAAATTCAATTTGACACCTACCCACAAAGCCAATGAAAATAGCGTTTGCCAGTTGCTTAAGAGATGGATCAGTGAAATCTCTTTTCCTTCAATTGCAAATTTGCAACAACCCAGTTAGAAGACTCAGGCTCCTGGAACCTTCGGGATGTGATTGGTCGGTGAAGTCATATGAGCTCTGCGGTCTATGCAAAAATAGTTCTGGCATGGCGTGGAGAGACGACCCGACGACTTGCTTTCGCAGTGCAGCATTTTAGTCATCCACGAAGTAAAATTTGAAGCTCGGAAATTATAAATTTGGAACAAGTCAAATTGCCATGTGATAACTTCCATTTTTACATAGTATATATATGAAAGTATACGAGAGATGTGATAGTAACTATCAACAATACAAAAACCAAACGTTCAAAAATCTAGCTAAACGAATCTAATTTAAGATTGAAGTTAGGTCATCAAAAATCCAGTCTCATACAATAGCACAATCTGAATGTGAATCACTTTTGAACTTTACATTCTCCCCTTCAAGCGGGTATCTTGAATTCTTTCGTGTCCAGCTTGTTTACAATATCATCCAAAGTCTCCTTTCTCAATGCCTTAATGATGATGTCTGGTAGTCGTAATTGTGTAGGCACTCCCACACAATTTTACACAGTATCTGCTCGAGAGGTCCTAAGTTTGAATCCTCATTTTATATATATATATATATATATCCAAGCTTTAATGTAAGGAGAAAGACCAGTTAAGTGTGACAGGAGTGTTAAAGTATATGAATGTTAAATCACGAATTCATCTAATACGTCAAGCTTTTAGAAGAGTTAGCACTGGTCTCGCACCATTTTACAAAATTAGGACCTCCAAAATAATTAACATCCACAGTTCCTAATGTGAACAGTTTCATATGTAAAGCCTACAGGAGTATCTAATCTGAACCAACATCCAAGAGTAAAACCCAGGGGGACTTAATTGACAATTCGATCTGGAAAAACTATAATTATGATCACCTAACATGAGCCAAGTGACATGGACCCTTCTGTTTATTAAAATCATGCTTCTGCTAGCTTCAGCCTCATAAAATCTGCTGCAAGCCTCTTTCCGTCTTCGATGAGGACAGAAGAACCGGGAATTGATATCTGATGTTGAATCCTCAAGATAAGCACATATAGATTTTTCCTTCATACAAACAATCTTTCGAGTAACCTAGCCCTCAGATCTTCCTAGTTAAAGAGCATCCAACTAAATGACACCATTCAGATCAACTGCATCAAGAATCTGCTGAAATGAAGAAATATCCTGAAAAAAACATCCCAACCCATTATTGGCTTCATGAGAACTTCTGATAGTGTTGTATTCTCCAGCAATCATCCAACGAGAATCAAGAATAGAACCTGCAAATAAAGTTCATCTTGCCCCACAAAGAAGCTCTCTGATCACAAAAGTTCAATGCATGCACGGAGTAGGAGAAAAGCGACTTTTCTTTGATCATAGTGAACATATTATGAATCAGAAATAAGCAAGACTAGATAATAGGTAGAGTTTCAAAGTAACCCAAGAGCTGATAAGCTTGATGATTGTGGCAAGATTTCCATCAAGAAAACCGTCTTTTTGACATTCCCATCCATTCTGTTTCTTGCACTATAGTATCATGTAAAGCAAATAACACAATTTAAAAGTGCTCACAGTTTTAACTTCTGCATGCTTACAGGGCTTATTTAAAACCATTCATTTCCCCACTAAGATCAGGACCACGACCATCAAGATATCTTAGGCAAGAAAGATAAAACTGATGATGAAACTGATACAAACTCCTCGATTGCTTCTTTCTATTGTGATTTTCGGAGAACGTTTTGCAAATGCAATTTTGTCTCAGTAGCTGCCCACAAGGTTATGTTGACGAATTCTGCCCTGCAGGTAAAGTCTCTCCCTTAGAAACAACTGGTCAACAGGTACAACTTGCAACTAATAATGTACACTATCCAACAAAAAGAATGAAACAATCTTCAGAAAGAACATCAAACTTGTTCCTAACCGGAACCTCGTCAGCGAACGCCTTGTCCTTGTGACAGTCAGAAGAATCCTCAATATCAAGAGTGTTCTGAGAGATTCCAAGCTGTGTTTCTGTATCTGCTTTTTCTGACACTGCTTGTTGGACATTTGAGGTTTCCAAAATCCTCCATGCAAATCGGAGTTTATCTCCCATCTTCAGTTAGCACAGGAACAGTATCAAACAAAACCTGATCCAACATTAAATTCAGCACAAAGAATTGCAGTATCTAACTAAAAACCATGTTCTGTTGTCCATGCTTAGTCCAACATCTATAGCACTGGAGATATAGCTACTCCAGTTTCCGTCATAAACTCCACCGGAACTTTCTTCAATCTAATCCAAGAAGGTGTTCGACAAAAACCAATCTTCAAGGATTGGACTCACTGGAGTGTAGAAGTCTGTTTACACATAATCCTTGGCTGTTGGTTGATATACCATGGTCCATTCCTCAATATCCAATAAAAATATTCCCCCATTTGGCAAACATATATACCATTGTCACACTTACACACCTCAATTTTACCTTGTTGCCCCCAAAGCCTATTCAACTTAAGAAAATATTTCACCTTTAATTGGCAAAATGCACAGAGATCTGAAATGGGATAAATTACACTAAATTTTATGCTTGGGAATGCAAAAAGAAATGATAATCTCGCCATTGCAACAACCAATCAGAAAACAAATTCCTTATATTTTCTTATGTAGCTATTTTTGTCTAACATTCTTTACATTTTTTAATTTGACAAGTTTATAGTCCGTATAACTTGATTTATTTTAATGAGAAAAATCAGGAGGGAGATGGAATGACATATATATTGTTCTATAATTTTCTCTTAGAGAAATTTCAATATGAAATTTACAATTGACATTTTGTATTTTTAATAAAATACCAGGAACTAAACATCAGTTAATTCTGTGTTAGAAAACTGTCCACTTTGAGATATGATACATTGAGAAAACTTCCTCCCACCCAAAAGCAGCAGGTCTATGCACCATTAATCTGCTCTTGTATAGCTGCTCTCTCCAGTAATCACCAGAAGTCTTTGCAGGAACATATACCATTTCTGAAATGATGGAACCTGCTCTTATCTCTCATAATAAACTCCCTCATGCTAATTTTTGAAATGAACTTAAAGAAATTATGGCAGTCATCACAAGTCCTCAGATTCTTTATGACACGAATGGGGAATTCAGGTTCTACATTAATAAGACCAAATGCAGCAGCAAGCTTTTCACTGTGAACACGCAGCATGGCTTCCTTCTCCTCCATTTCCACGTCGTGGTGAACAGAACCAACTTCTGAGATGTAACCCAAACTCTTGATCTGCATATATAAGTCCTCCAACTTCTGATATATGCTTGACGACTGTGGATGAGACTTGTCTCCACTGTAAAAAACATACACTTCGCTGTTGAGCTCAATAGAGCTATACGCAGCTACTTTCTTAATGCACTTCTTTCTCATCCTTAGTCTAACTTTATCAACATAGTCCCACCTTCCAGCAGAAGCATACATGTTAGATAATAGAACATGATACGAAGCAATATCAGTTCCTAACTCAAAAAGCTTATCCGCTGCAACCTGACCCACTTTAACATTCTTGTGGATTGCACAGCCACCCAGTAAAGCACCCCAAACTCCTGCATCTGGCTCAATGGGCATACCCATTATAAAGCTATAAGCCTCTTCAACGTGTCCTGAGCGGCCAAGGAGATCGATCATTAAAGAATAATGCTCTCTTCTAGGCCGAATATTCTGATCATTTGAATCCACAATGTAGTTAAAGTAAGCCCGACCTTGACTCACAAGTCCGGCATGGCTACATGCAGATAAAACTCCAAGATAAGTGACATAATTTGGTTTTGGCCCTTCGTTCTGCATTCTAGAGAACAGAGCCAAAGCTTCTTCACTCTTCCCATTAACTGCATAGCCTAAAATCATCGCACTCCACGAAACAACATTTTTAAGATGCATTTCATCAAATAAAGTTCTTGCCGTATGAGTACTACCACATTTCACACACATGTCGAGCCGTGCATTCTCAACAATAATATTGCTCTCCATCCCGTCATTTACGGCAGATTCAAAAATCTTATTGCCAATGTTTAAACATCCCAACTGACCACACGCCGATAGGGCACTTACAATAGTCACGCCATCAGGCGTCATCCTGGCCAATCCCATCTGATGGAACAGTGCGAGGGCCTTACTGGCGTACCCCATCTGCACGCACGCTGCAATGAAAGAATTCCAAGCCACTAGATCTCTCTCTATCATGGTCTCAAACAAGTAATCAGCCAATCTCACGTCCCCAAACTTCACGTACATTATCATCAATTCATTTCTCACCATGGCATTATACTCAAGCCCATATTTTACCACGTGGGCATGGATAGTCAAACCGGCCCAGCAATCGGGCAGCTCGGTGGATGCCTTCACCACAAAGGGAAAAGTAAATCCGTCGGGGCGAACGCCGAGAGAAGTCATCTTCCCGTAGAGTGAAACCGACTCCATGGGCATGTCATTCTTCGCATATCCCCGGATCAGGGTGTTCCACAAGAAAATTCTTGGCTTGTGCATTTCATCGAACAGTTTGCGCGCGTACTGAATGTCGCCCAAAATTACTATATTGGCGAGCAACTGAGTGATGAGGCTGTTTTTCACCGAGAGCCCAGTGGTTAGGACGAGCGCATGGATTTGCTCGAGCTGGTGGGGCTGTGAGGAGCATGCTTTCAACAGGGTGGCGAGGGTCTGTTTGGTCAGCGGAAATGGTAGGGAGAGCTTTTGGCGGCATTTTGGGAGCATCGTAAGGAATGTAGAGAAGATGGGTTCTCAGGATCACATCGAAAACGACATCCTAGTACGACAGGGAGAGATCTGGCTTGGAGTATTCGATGCTGTTTTGTCAAAGTTTGCAACTTGCATCGTTCGGGAATGAGTGAGCTCTCTGGAGTATTAGCTCAGAGAAGAGCGTCGAAGCTTACAGTACTGAAGAGCGTCAAGCGGTAGATCTTCGTCGTCCAGCAAGCTTTTGAGACAACCAAGTGTGACATCTCTCTCTCTCTAGATTTGCTTTGTTCCTTGAATTTTTCATTTACTGGTGGAAGGTGGGGGAGTGGCCGGTGACAGTAGTTTGCAAAACGGACCGCCCAAATCGAAAATTGCCCACCCGGACCGAACGGGAGTGTCGGTCCAGCTTCCCGATTCCTAAAAGTGGAACCGATGTCCGGCGGCTCGGTTTCCGGTTCCAAGGGGAACAGGACCAACCAGATTGAGCCGACTACAAATTTTTTTTTATTTCTTTTATTTCTTTACAAAAATTAATAAAATGTGAACTAAACTCTTAGTAAACTTCATTGACATAAATTGATTGACAAAATTTAGTAAAATGTGAACTAAACCCTTAGTGACAATTCCATTGGACCTGACCGGAACCGGACCGATCGTAGGACCAACTGGGAACCAATCACCCTTAGATGGTGATGCTGATGGGCATTTGATTTCTTTGAATTTGCGAGCAGATTTACTTTGTTTGGCAGATCAAGTTGAAGAAGGAAATGTAGAGAAATTACAACAAAAAAAGGAAGTGAACAGAAAATAATTGATAGGAACTTCCTTTGTTATCTTGGATAAGCATGGAATAGAGACCACTTTGAGTGTACAGAGCTATGACATTGCTACCTTATTGAAGTTAAGTACAAAAACGCCCCATTTCATTGTAAAAATTGGTATATGGCATGTGACAAATCATAGTAAACATATGAAGACTTAAGCACGCGTGTTTCTCCAACGAGTGTGGAATCATAAGCATGCGTATTTCTCTTCATATGAAGACATTATTTTGAACAAATAAATTCATTCTCTTTTTCAAAAAAAAAAATGTATCGTGTGCATCGATTATATGATTGATGTTCCGATTTCTACGTTAGAATCTTGCAAGCCTCACTTCCTATCGGTCGATTTTTTCATGTGTCGTTGTCACGTAACATGAAATTTCATGTTTGCTTAATCCACCCGATAAACCTTTGGGAGGGAATTCGGATTGAGAAGAGATGACTGGGCGTGATAGGTATACGACGTGGTGGAATAGAAGCGAATGTGCAAGATCACACAACCCAAAGCGCGTTTCATGGCAAGCCCATACTATGAGTACTCTCAATGCCCTCTTCCTTACGGGCCATATCATCATTGGGCCACTTGAGCTGGGCCCGAGCCCAATAAGAAGAAGTGAGAATTTTTGCTACAACAGGAAGTATGTAGAGCCCGACGTACGAGCTTTTCAAAAGAGTACTCGACTCGTAGAACCACAGAACCACATTGTATACGACTTCGCATGTGCAAGCTTAGGTGAGTGGGACTTCGTTCCTGCTTAAGGGAAAAAAAATTGATGAACTAGACATAAAATATAGAGAATCAGTGAGCGAAAATTCACAACGATGGAATAGGGATGGAGAAGTATATAGAGTCCAACACGCCGGTTCCAAAAGAGTACTTGACTCTTATAACTGCGAAACCGGGTTATATACAACTCTACATGTGCACACTCAGGTGATGTGAGACTTCACCTCAAATCGATCTCCTATTGTTGTCAACAACAACTAATGTCTAGATTGGGAAAAGGGTGGGCCTATATATATGCACGCCCTTTTCGGCTTGAAAATCACCTTTTTATTGATTACCCAAATTAGTCTTCAACTTTTGTCAAGCAAAGCATGATGCATCGACACTTAATGGTACATCTTTTAGGCGAATTAATGATCTATGAGTGGATACTTTCCCATTTCGGTTTACACCAAAATTTTTCCTTTTGTAATCTTCTATTTTATTTTTTTGCACCAAACTTGTAGATAACAATTTATATCTTTCTAAAAAAGTGCGGAAACAAAACATCAGGCATGATTTAGCTTTATATGTAATTCTATATCTCGATTTGTTTGGTCTCTCCAATCTCAAAATTAAGGTCAATCCAAACGACATAATGAAAGTAAAATAAACCCAGTGGCCCAAAAAAAAAGCATAATTAGCCCAAAAATTAGGGAAAATCCCAAATACGGGCCTAATATGCCTTCAGTTTCTCAAATAAGGGCATGAAGTGGACTTTGTGTCAAATAAGAGCATGAAGTGCCTTCATTTTCTCAAATAATAACCTGAAGTGGCTATAACAATTTCAAATAAGGGCATCACCCCGCCGGCTGGCCAAATTTTCCGACCAATGAAGGGCATTTTTGTCAAAAAATAATTTTAACGTAAATTTTAGTTAAATTAGATTAAAAAAAAAACAAGAGGGAGGGCGCACTGTGGCGCTGCCACTATCGCCGGTGGGGCGGTGGCGATGGCCGCGAGGTCGCCAAGCAAACCTCGCCGAGCAGGGAGAGGGTCACCCAACCCTCCACCAAATACGGCGAGGGTTGTTGGTCGTCGCCCCGATCTGGGAGAGACCTGGGCTGGCGACCCTCTCCCAAATTGGGGCAATGGCCGACAACCCTCGCCAGATCTGGTAGAGATCGGGCGACCCTCTCTCGGTTCTGGCAAGGGTTGCTGGTTTATTGACACCTAAATTTTGACTAACCATTTAGTAATTCGTTGCATAGAAAAATTAGAGATCGACATCGGCTCCTAGATAAAAATTAGTTAAATTGCAAATAGATATTAGTATCATTTGCATTAATAGTTAGGCTCATATAATTGCATTTGCATTGGACCGGTGATAGACGGACTTAAATGGTTCTGAGCTTAATTTATGCTAGCTGGACTAAGCCCATCGTGTGAGAAAATTCAGCCCAGCCTATGAGTATTATAAGAGCCGAAATTTTTCCATTGGATAATTGAGCAATTAATCTTGATTATAATTCAAATTTTGAAAGATAATTATTCGATTTTGTTTGATATTATCAAGATTCTAAGAGATAATAAAAGTTTCATATCAGTAAAGTGTATCTCTTAGAATTTAAAATTGAGAATTTTAATCTTAACCTAGTACTATATAAAGGGACGTCCACTCACGTTTGAAGGAGGCCACACATATTGAATACACGGCCCCATTGAGAGGAGAGAGAGTACGCAAAGAAAATTGGAAAAGGAGAGAACGCCTACCTTGGGAGAAAATATTGGGTGGTCCTGGACCACCAAGTCAGCGTGGTCCTCGACCACTCACGAGGCGCCACATGGACCACGTGGCGCGGGTGGGGCCGGCAGGCCAGGAGACGTTTTTTGCACAAAAAATTAATATTTTTTCAAAAATCGCTCCCACCCGAGAGCAAGCCGCTCGCCCACTGGTCCTGCCCTCAGCCATTGTGTCTGCCAGCCCAAGAGCAGCTGGGTCCCGAGCCCTGACCGCTGTCGCCTCCGACCTCCGCCGTCGCCTCCGCCGTCGCCTCCGCCTGCCCAAGAGCAACCCGCCCACCTGCCAATCCCGACCTCCGCCGTCGCCCACCCCCGCCCAAGAGCAGCTGGGTCCCGAGCTATGATCGCCGCCTCCCTTATTTTTTCTCGTCTTTTTTGTTGTTTGGGTTTCCAGATTTTTGAGTTGTTTATGGGTTTTTGCAAGAGGAGCAGTGTTTGCATGCGAAGTATTGAAATTGAAACAAACATCGAGTGATAAGGGAACGAGGAAGATAACACCGAAGTGACGGGAAATCTGCATTGCAAACCAAACAACATTAAAAATCATAAACAACTCAAAAATCTAGAAACCCAAACAACAAAAAAGATGAGAAAAAATAAGGGAGGCGGTGGTCAGAGCTCGGGACTCAGCTACTCTTGGGTGGGCGGAGGCGACAGCGGAGGTCAGAGGTGACGGCGGTCAGAGCTCAGGACCCAGCTGCTCTTGGGCGGGTGGAGGCGACGGCGGAGGGCGGGATCGGCGAGCGGAGCAGCTTGCTCTTGGATCTTCGTGAGAAGAGAGGGGGAGTGCTGAGGAGATAGAGAAGAAGAGAGAAGGAGGAGGCCACCATTAATGAAGAGAGAGAAAGGGGAGAGACTCGACTGGAAAGGGGGGTGTAGGTTCTTAGCGCAGAGGAGGTGTGCAGGGCTAAAAGGGAAAAAATATTAATTTTTTGTGCAAAAAACGTCTCCTGGTCCGCCGGCCCCATCAGCACCACGTGGACCACGTGACGCCTCGTGAGTGGTCGGGGATCACGCTGACATGGCGATCTGGGACCACCTAATATTTTCTCCTACCTTGGGTCTCTCTTTACAGGCTCAGAAGAAAACAGGAAAAAAGAGGGGAGCGGGGCCACAGCTTTCTAAATAAGAGAGGGCAATAGAGAGGGAGGAAGTCGAGGCCAATTCTTCATCAACAGCTCATCTTCTTGCATGTGGAGTCTGGATTCAAGCGAAAGCTTTGCCTCTGTGCTCTCAACACCTCACGTTAGTGCACCCTCCCCAAGCTGCCACGCACGGTCTGCTCAAATACCATTGCATCTCAATATCCCAGCGAGTACTCTTGGCGGCAAGCAGCTGATCTTGACATAGCCTAGCCTCGGTGATTTGGTGCTATTCCTCTTACGATTCCTAAGCCTACATCCAGAGGTGTCCTGCGGTTCTCGTGCCGGTCCAGCATACTTCACCGCGACTAGCGCCTTGCAAACCTAGTCAAGTCCCTTGTGTTTTCGTTATTTTACAGGTGTTGCAAGAAGTCAATTCACGACGAGCACCAAGACGACCCCAGTCGTCGCTGCATCAGCTGAACCGCGGATGATCAGTAAGTCCATGAGCCACCACCATCGGCCACGAGTCACCACGAGCACCACCGGCCATCATCTCACCGTCCTTGCTGTCGAGTACCATTCGTCGAGTCTCGAGATCCACAATCCCGATTCATTGTGATTTTGAATTTGGAAGGTTATCCGTAAATTAGGTAACGATCTCATCCGATATCTCTTCAAATATTTAAATTCCCAATTTGAATGATTTTTCTATCTTTAGTGGGTCAGTAGATATATTTGAATGATGCATGGCATATCCGCGGGAGGTTAGGTCGCGACACAGCCCTAGTTGAGGCGCCAGCGGTCTTGCTGGCCATCGCCGCCGCCGCCC